TTATCAATGCAAGTCAAAATTAAACTGTGCAGACTTGTATTTTATTGTGACCACTCTCTAAGATAAAATAGAATAATAAAACTTAACACTAAGTTTGATAGAAAAAACTAATGGGCTTATTAAACTTCAGATTTAAAACATTGAAAGATAAAAATGTATATTAAAAAATACATTTTGGTTTATTTTTGCTGTTTGAAAGGATCTGTTTCTCTGGTCTACTGATAAGCAATGGGTTATATAATATTTCTATGATAAACTAAGTGAGTTGTCAATAGTGTATCAGCATTTTTCAGATCTCTACAAACACATGCCCATGACACACCATGTTAATTGTTTTTTGTTTGTTTGTTTGTTTTGTTTTGTTTTTTTGAGACAGAGTCTCACTCCATTGCCAGGCTGGAGTATAGTGACATGATGTCGGCTCACTGCAACCTCCACCTCCTGGGTTCAAGCGATACTCCTGCCTCAGCCTCCCGAGTAGCTGGGACTACAGGCATGTGCCACCATGCCCAGCTAATTTTTTGTATTTTTAGTAGTAAGGGGGTTTCAGTATGTTGGTCAGGCTGGTCTCGAACTCCCGACCTCAGGTGATTTGCCTGCCTCGGCCTCCCAAAGTGCTGGGATTACAGGCAGGAGCCACTGCACCTGGCCCATGTTAAAAAATTAAAACAAACAAACAAAAACAAACAAACAAACAAAATCTGTTTTCTGATCAGAACAAAGCTACATACTGTTTTCCATTCAGAATATTCATAATGTTCATGAGCATATTAAAAGCTTTAAGATGTAATTCAATGACTAAGCCTATCAGACTTTGTTTAAACACAGTTTTGAAAATTTACTTGACTACGGTCTAATTCCTATAGATACTCAAAAGAAGGCACACTTTTCAAACAGGCTTTGGAAGACCCATGGCATCATACTGCATTCGAGGGCACACAAGGTCTAAATTTACAAGAATCTCTCCAACACTTTAAAATCAATGAACTTAAATATAGGTTACTTCTTTCTCATTAAAGATACCCTGTATCTAATATTCCAGATTAAGACGTCTAGCTTCTTTCTAATCTGTTCACTTCCCTGGGGATATCTGATCTCCCTACTCTTGAGATTGCCTTCTGCTATTACCTGCTTTATCCAAAGTTAGAAAATATGCAATTATGCAAAAGAAATGTTCCCTTCTGTAACTGTCACTTTTCTAGCACTCCTTTTTATTGCATTGCTTCAGCATTTTTTGACATTATACAATGAACAATGTTTTGCATTTCTTCTTATATTTCTTGGTGAGTATTTCAAGTCTTTTATAGAATCCTTCAGTCTTCATAACTATACTTTCTATTTCCTAAATAGCATTCTTTCTAAACCTATAGTTTTTAACCTGTCACACATTTCTGCAGTGCCTTTCACAGTGTACTCCAAAATATAAAAATGCAACTTATTCTGTTGATTTGCAGATCTACTTAAAAATAAAATGTAAATTGAATATATATATATATATGAAAGATTATATTCGCATGGTTGCCCAAAGAGAATGAAATGAGGAGTGAAAAAAATAGGAGTAATATTTTGTTATAGCAGTTTGAGTGGACTACAACAATTGACAATGCTTTCATTTCATGCAGTAAGTGGAAGTCACCTGGTTGCTGTGAACACTGGCATGTGTTAGATTATCTGTTTTTTTCAAGGCTACCTAACAATAACAGTTGGATTTCAAGGCAAATCTAGGTACAAACACACTAAATGATGGTGCTGTTTATAAAGGTCCCTTGTATAAAAGAACAGCCTGTGTATGAATTTTTGGCTTTTCAGAACAAGGAAAGATTGAGAACTAAAATATTGAGAATTATCATTAAAATGTCAAGGATTTAATTTCATATTGTTAACTATCTTTGAGTATATGTTTTACTTCCTCAACTAGATATGGGGACAAAGAACGTTTATTTTACTTTTTTGAATTAACAATGACTTCTGCTGATTTCCACAAAATTACAGAACATCACAATTATGTTGATTTTAGCTGTCATTTGTTTTTATACCTACATTAATTATAAAGTATAAGAGCTTTGATTCCCACTATTATGCATTATGCCATGTAATAAACAAAACAAGAACATGGGCCCCCTGAACCTAAAATAAAATTATATTTTTTAAAAAGCATAAGGAATTTAAATGACTTGGTAATGTTCATGCAATTAGTCAATACCAAATGTAAGGATTAAATTTAACATTGCTTTAAAACTATAACTTTTAAAGAAGTAAATAAACATCCAACTTTTATTGTAGTATTTATTTTGTAAAATTATCTTTACTAATAATTACAGAATATGAATTTCATAAATATTAATTTCTGAGATGAATAATAAGTATTTAGACTTTCCCTTCCCTGATTGCACCATTTGTCACACAGCTAAGCTAAACACGAAAGTGAAAAGAATACTAAAAACAAAGAGAAAATTCTTATATAACATAGGCCAGAGTAGAGATGCTGTAATAGCTAAGCCTTCAGAATATCTATTAAACAGTTTTAGACACAAAGCTATAATAAAGGTCCTTACAATGGTGTGAGGATGCATACTGATCTTTCTCTTTTAAAAGAGCTTTGATGACCCCAGCTTCAAATGATTAGCTTGTCTTGACATAATGGAGAAGCCTATGTAAAGAGTATTTCAAAAAGATTACGCAGAAGCTCTACGTCTCCATCAGAGAGCAGTTTTAAAGGGGATAATGTGTCACTTAGAGTTGGATGCTCTTCTCCATTGTCTTCCTGGTCGATTTTACTAAGGTTCTTAAAATGTATGTCAAAGTAATGTGATGTGTGCTGACAAGTTGAGTAAATCTACTTGGTTTACTACGTGCATCAGCAGAACTTCAAATTTTACCAGGCATAGTTTTATATTCAGTAATGAATTGAAATATTTACTGTGCAAAGTGTTTATGGATAACATATTAAAGATATGTGAGGAAGAAGGAGAGAACAAATGTATTGCTAATTGTAAGGCATGAGGAAGTGGCCAGGTTGTGTACACTTAGTTTAGTCCTTTGTAAGTATTTTCAAATTTAGCATGATGGTGTGCACAGGCGCTGAAGTGAGATCACCAGGGGTAGAATCACCTTCCTACTACATATGTGGCGAGGTGTTCCCAAACAAGCACTAAACTTCTTTGTGCCTCATTTTCTTCATCTGTAAATGGGGATCATCATAATAATGCCTACCACGGGGAGGGCTATAAAAACATGAAACATAAAGTGCTTAGCACAGTATCTAGAACACAATTATCAATCAGTGACTTAGCTAGTAGGGTGATTAGTAAATGGATACAGTCCGAAGCTTTAATAAATCTGTACAAAGTCTTCAAAACAGTCCATAAATAGTTCCTAAATTAACTTTTACAAAATAAAGAATTTTACAAATGTATTGCTCATTTTATTAACAAAAATATTAACTTTTTAAAAATTAATTTGAATCCATATGAGGATAAAGATGAGGTTATCTGGATGCATGTAAGAATACAGTAGACTTTGAAATAGTTTTCTAACTTTGGGACCCAATCAGAAATCATCCTTCCTTGGGCAGGGATGGAAAATGATGAGTTGCAATTAAACAAAGCACATATTTTAAATGTCAGAACAAATCCTTTAAATTACGTTAGTGGTATCTTATTACTGGACCACTTACTGTAGCTGTAATTACCATACATAAGAATAAATGGGTGGGCAAGTGCAAAATAGGTATAAACAAAAATCATTGAGGAGAATAAAGAGTTATAAACTCATTTTTTTTTTTAGTATCATGACAGAATAAAAAATAACACCACATTCAGGACAATGATTTACCTGTCTCTTCAAAAGCATTATATACTAGGTTTATTTAGAATTTCTATGCTGTATTCTGAGTCACACACTTTTGCACTATAATCTTCATAATTACCCTGAAAGAGAATTTGCATATCAGAAAACTAAAGTTTATAAAGGTTAAATAATTTGCCTAAGGTCAATTCAATCTTCAACTGAATTAAACAGTGTGCTTAGCCATATAGAATTTGTTCCATATGTATAGAATTTGCTGATTTGTTGTCTGTTTCTGTAAATAAAACTTTATTTGAATACTGTCAGGCCTATTTATTTACATATTCTCTATGTCTGCATTAGTGCCATGAAACACTGTAGTTGTAACAGAGATCATATGGTCCATGAGGCTTCAAATATTTACTATCTGACCCTTTAAGAAAAAAATTGTATTACATTCTAGACCTTCTTCAATGCAGTAGAGGCGTGAGGAGCCTGAGGATCATTTTGTCCATCAGGCCTGTATAGTGGTAGAGACATGGGTCCAGATTTCTCTAGTGGTGTAGCCACCCAGATCTAACCACTGAGTTTCCCAGTTGCCAAGGCTACTCCTCACAGGACAAGGGGGTGCCCTACCATCTCACTATTCTTCAGGCCCTAAATACCTGCTGTAAGTGCTCTCAAGGGATAGCATAGCAACTCTTCCACTAACATTCATTTTGAACCCAGAGAAAAGAGAGTCCAGTGATTAGAATAGACTTGACCCATTCTCCTCTCTTCAGAGCTTCTTAGGTTGCTTTAAGGACACAAACACAGAGGATCATTTCTTTCTTTTCTAATTTTATTTTATCCTGGGGCAACTAATCAATTTTATTTCACATTTTTAAAAGCTATACATAACAAAGAAGCATATTCAAATCACTCTAACCATTCCAGTTCAATTAATAACTAGAAGGAAATTAGTTATTGCTGCTCCAGAAAAAGTTTATGGGTTGAGCTGTCTCTATGGTAGCAAATACATTTGAAAGAAATTTTCAAAACACTGTGCACAATTTTCTTTTGTGTGTGATAGATTAGTTATTCAACTGGATTGTTTCAATCAATAGGGTATTTTGAAATTCCCTGATATGCACGTTTTAGGAGAGTATAAATCATATGTGTTTTAAATATATCATTGCATAACTCTATAACTAAGAAATTCTTCATTAACTTACATGTCTCTGGGATCCATCATATTCACACCTTTCAATTTTTCCTAGACTGCCATCTGAGAAATACAACTTCTCTGCACGGTAGTCGATAGTGAGTCCATTTGGAGTGAGTATGTCTGTACTGACCACTACTTGAGCATTCTTCCCAGTCAGAGTAGATCTCATGATACTTGGATGCTGTTCATTCCAGTTGGTCCAAAACATTAAACTAATGAAAATGAAAATTGTAATTATAAGTCAAACTTCTCATCAAGAGTAAAAATACTAATAGAAACATGTCAATAGCAAGCTATTTAAAAAGAAGCAGAATTATTTACCTCATATTCTATGCCCCTAACAAAGTCTAGGTAATAAAAGGAGATATGCATATGATATTTGCATGTTAATTTTACCCGAGTTCTTAAATGAAACCTAGAACCTACTTCTAAAAAAATGATTTCCTGGGTATTCCTTCAAATAATTTAGTTAAATTGTTAGATGCATGAGGATTTATTTTAATCAAGAACAAAACAGTGATCTTGTTTGTTTTCCACAAACTGCAAATATACTCTAACTTATTACCACATTTCAGCTGATCCAGTATAATCATTCTTATCCTAAGTATAATTATCTGCTTCAATTGATGAAAATAAAAATCTTCTTCCCCTTCTAATTTTCCTTTTTAAATTCTGCATTCTCTTTTGTATTTGTTTTGGAGAAAGGAAATTACTAAACTCCTGTTTTTTACATTTCTCTTTTTCTCTCTTAGTGTGATTTTTTTTTTTTTTTTTTTTTTTTTTTTTTTTTTTTTTGTGACGGAGTCTAGCTCTGTCGCCCAGGCTGGAGTGCAGTGGCCGGATCTCAGCTCACTGCAAGCTCCGCCTCCCAAGTTCATGCCATTCTCCTGCCTCAGCCTCCTGAGTAGCTGGGACTACAGGCGCCCGCCACCTCGCCCGGCTAGTTTTTTTGTATTTTTTAGTAGAGACGGGGTTTCACCGTGCTAGCCAGGATGGTCTCGATCTCCTGACCTCGTGATCCACCCATCTCAGCCTCCCAAAGTGCTGGGATTACAGGTTTGAGCCATTGCGCCCGGCCAGTGTGATTTTTCTATAAAATACAATATCATTTCTAAAACTCTAGGGGTGACTCTTAAATTCTTCAGCATAGTATCTGTTCTCTATGGATTCCCAGGTATAATCATTTAAAGGCAATTTAGCATTACAGCCAACAAAGTTATTCAATAGGTGGTTTTGAGTATTTTATGACACTTATTACCAAAATTCCCAAATAATTGTCAAATTAACAACAAACATGTTTGTATTCAATTTTCATTGTTGGTAATTTTACTTATAAATTGTGACATTTAATATAAAAAATAGTGAATTAAAACATTTTAAAAGTTATGCATAGAATGTAAAGTATTAAACCCACAATTTATTTACAATATTTTCCTAGATTGTAGGTTTTATAACAAGAGAATTTTAGAGGTGTTAGTAGTGTTCCTTTCATTCCACCCTCCCCACTTCATTTCACAGGTGAGAAAACAGAATGGTCCAGAGAGCTTAAGTAATTAAAGTTTTCACAAATAATTAGTAACTGAACCAAATTTTAAACTTACTAACTTTGATTTGCAATTTAGGATTTTATTTTGAAATATGTATTAATCTATTAACATACAATGGTGTTTTGAAGGTATCATTTACATATATGATAAATTGCCTTTTCATACTTTAATTACAAATAATTATCAAATTGAAATTTTTACATGTTTAATTTTAATTTACAGTTCACCATATGCAAGGTGAAAAGTGTAAATGTTAGCCTATGTAATAAATAATTACAGGATAAAGCACTTACTAATTAAAACTCATCATACATAATATCATGAGTGACCGCTTCATTTTTATTTCAAAACTGACTTATAAATTCCTTCGCCCAAGTCTTTTATTCTTACTGTGTGACATTTATTATTGTCCTGAGATTCTTTTGGTGATGTGTTGAGATAAATGCAGCTGAGCCAGCAAACCATATCCTGATAGGACAGTGGTGGGAGCAGTCTCCCCAGCTCCACGATGAGTCATTGCATTGCTCAACCTTCAGAATTTTCACATATAAGATGACGTTCAATTAAGTGAATTAAATCTGACCTCACTTTTAGCTCTACGGAAAGGTTCAGATTTACAGCTATTTTCACACTGACCAATTCATGTTACTTAGTCCTTTCTTCTGATAAGTGGTCAGGGTCAGTGATTATCTGTCATTGCTTTTTATTCTTCAACCTTTTTTTTTTTTTTTTAATTTTTAAATCACACCTAAAAAGAACTCTTCTAGTTTTGCTCAAGGAAGGCCAGATTGGTCTGATTTTTGTTTATTTGTTTCATTTAAAAATAAAAAGCATTTTCTTATAGTTAACAAACAACTTTACCATATTGTATATGAGAGTGAAAGTTGATAGATATTCTTTGTCCCTTACCTGTGCTTTGTTCTTCAGGTGTTTTTTTGTTTGTTTGTTTGTTTTTGTTTTTTGTTGTTGGTAACTGCTTTAAGACATCCCCCAAAACACAAATTTTTTCTTTGTTTTTATTCACTGAGTATATTTTATATCCAGAATATTTTCTTTTGTCGTGATTTTTTTACAAACATTATTTTAGCTGTCTGTACAATATATCATCAAACAGCTGTAGAACACTTAGACTATTATCAAGTACCTAGTGATGAAAAGACAGCTGCACAAGAATATTTTTGTATTGTTGCAGTTTGCTTTATTTTGTATTTCAATTTGGGAGATCTCCAGATGCTATAATTACTTGATTAAAATGAAAAACAAAACAAAACAAAACAAAACAAAAAAACCTCTTAGTCTTCCGTGTATGTTAATTTTTTTAAATTTATGATTCCAATCAGCTATGCATTAATGTCTTCTTCATAGGCCTTTTCCAGCATAGTATTGTCTCTTTCCATTTTGCCTTTAATTATTTAAATTTGTTTTTACTGGATTTCTCAGAGAGATGAAGCCTGGCATTTAAAGGGTCCAGATTTTAATTTTTCACATTTATGATGCTCTTACATAAAAAAAGTTTTATGAATTGTGAAAATAAAACTTCAAAGAAAAACTTTAAAATTAATTCTTCTTAAAATTAACAGAACTCTGATATTCTTTTGACTTATAACTACAATGAAGAAATAAAACTACACTGTTTCTTACTTTTGACATTCATCCAAGGCTAGCACATGTGGGTGGTCATCCTCTGACATGGTGATGACAGCTTCCCTGTCAAATGCTCCAGGTCGAGTCTGGTCCACAGTGTGTCTGGTGATGGACGAGGTGGTGGAGCTTGTCCAGTACAGTGTATCCCAGGCTCTGTGATAGGCAAGTCCTTCCACAGAACCCACATCTAGTGGGGGAAGAAAAAGAAAAAAAAATACATTTTTATTTAAAAAAAAAATGACTTCTGGATAGAAAAAGCATTAAGATATACATGTATAGCTGTTATTTCATCAACCACTCCTCCACAACATCTCCTAAATAAAAATGTAGTCACTGTGATACCTACAATTGATAGCTGATTATGCATATATAAAGGGAGCAATTTTTGCAAAAATGTCATTATATTTATTCTCATAAATAAAATAAAATTAAATAATTGTCTTTCATTTTGGAAAATGGTGGCTCTCTATCTTTCCTGTATCTTAATCAATTTTCAAAAGTATCCAACGTGTAACAATTTAGAGATGCTTTTGAAAATCTTATGTCAGCAATATCACTTTGGTACAATCACCATGAGTATTCCCTTGATACTATAGATCTGGAGATGTCCAGGAAAAGCAAACACATGGAAAACTACAACAGTATGAGAAATCCAAAATCTAACTCCTTACTTGAAACTATCAAACAATGGTAGATAATGTTTTAATAGGTTAATGTGGCAATTTATTTGCTTCTATTCAACTAATGAGATAAAAAACAAAACAAGAGAAAAAGAAATTAATTGCCAGCGAAAGCAGGCTTTAAATGTCAGACAAAGATAAATGGTGATACACGGATCCTAACACATAAAAGTGACAAGGTGAAAAACAAAAGTAATTATTTCTTAAAATTGTATTCCCAATCTCTAGGGTACATAAAGTAGCTGTTTTATTTTTCACAGACATGCTTTGAGTGCATCTTTAAGTGTAATCAAATTATTACACTTTTCCTACATGTTATTTGTTTTCCTCAGAATTATTATTCTGAGCATGTTCAATTTAACAAAGAATATATACACCTTTTGCAGTCATACCAAGAAATTAACATTATTAAGACAGAGCATTTCCCCTGTTTTCCTCTCAAAGAATCTCTAAAAGGAATTATTCAGCTGCTATAAAAATAGGCATCTAAAAAGAGCTGTTTCCAGGTTTAAGATGAGTTAATACTTAGTTTGGGGGGATCAATAGGATTTTGCGGGAGGGCAAGACAATAATTAAAGCTTTTGAACAATATTTTTCATTTTTTGTTACTTGTTTCTTTTTTACATACAACATGAAATATCCAATAATAATGCAATTAATAGCTACCATTTTTAGTTACCACATGCTAGAAATGATGCAAACTGTTTTTCATACATCGTTTTATTTTGTGTATAAATCTATTCTGTGAAGCTTATGTCATAATTTTCCATTTCCCAAGAAGAAAGCTGAAATGTATAGTCACAGGGCTGATAATATTAACACAAAATTTTTACTCCCCTCCCATTCATCTGATTCCAAAAGGCTATGTGCTTAGTAGCACCACTATTTGGATATGGGTTTATAATGCTTATTACTTAACCTCAATCTAAACCAACCTGAAACCAAAGGAATGATTCATCAGTCTCAACTTGTTTGACTCTAGGAGAATTGTATACCTAGTAATATACCATACATAGTCTCCCCTCACACAGTCAACAAAGCAATCTACAAGGTATTAATGGGGGTGATTAGTACGAAAATGTAGTCTAGAGATGGTGGAAGAAAAATTATAAAACACAGTCACTGTAAAATCAGTTAAGCTAATTTTATGTGATGCATACAGTGCTCCTATTTGGAGTGAGTGGATGAAAAGTTGATCATAGTTAAGAATGTTTAAATCAGTAATAAATCACATTTGCCAGTGTTTTTTTTTTAAATTTCCAAATCATTTCAGAAATGCAGTTAACTCTATTAGTAGTATCTGTAGTATTACACGCCTTTCATCATTCACAAATAAAATGAGAAACGGCATAGCTCTGAAAAAATGTAAGCAAATGAGAATAATTAATCCATCCTCATTCTACACCTTCTCTTCCAGTAACTATGACATATCTTCCTCTTGGTAACTTTCTCTTGTCAATTCAGGAAGAAAACATTTGGTATCACCATTGAGATGTGGCAGATGCTTCTTTTCTATGGTTAACATAATTCCAGAGTTACTAGAGAACATAATACATCTCAATATCCAGGTATAATCTGTTTTACTTTATTTTTGTAATAGATTATAACCAGAAATTACAGTTAATAATTATCTGTTGCTACATTTTAAAATATTTTAGTGATGTACTTCTTTCTAAAAAAGATGTTTAGATACTTATAAAAATATATTTTTATTAACAATTAACAAAAGTTAACAAATCAACAAAAATTAATAAATTTTATTAACAAAAAGCCAGTAAAAATTATTGAAATATTCTAGTTGAGATAAGACATATTTCTCAATTTGTGATGATTTATCGATGGTGAGGGGACATGTGGCATGTGTATGTGTACGTGTGCACACATATCTGTGTTTGAACATTGAGATTCTCAAAACAGTTGAACAGCCAGAATAGGACTTTGAATTACTGATCCTGGAAGGCAATTATGTAGTTTGAAAATAAAATAAAATGCCTATCTACCCAACCAGACCTGAAATATTGAGCAGAGTAAATCAATACAAAGCTAAATTCTTGGAACTCAAGGATGTAGCACCTACATCTACGAAGATGCAGGATAGGCGTAATTAAGAAGATATCTATAATAGTGCTGTTTCAGCAGCTCCATACTTTTCACCCCAGCAATATACATACACACACACACACACACACTTACACATACACACACACATATGTGTGTGAAATGTAACGCAAAATCAGTAAAAATTCCATCGCCTTACCTCATGCACTTGCCAAGAGAAAAAAAAAAGAGTTTTCTTCCTTTTTACCCACTTTTGAGCAGGGAATTGGGTTTGGCTAAGCATGAGTCAGGTCCCGACATGTTTTTGCAGAAGAAAGAAGGGGAGGTCAGCACATCAAAAAATACAAGCCAGGCAGGTAACTCAGAACCGTGGTTGTACCCTATTTCCTGGATTCTAGTTTCCATAGCCATGATGGGGAAATTGATTCTGATAGCTTGACAGAGAAATAAACCACTCCTCTTACAGCTACCCAAAGGACTTTAGTTCATAGAGAACATACTTTCATCTCATCACCACTGAGGAACACCAATAGCCCCTTCTTGTCTGAACATTGTCTTAAAGGCAGCATAAGAGCTTACCAAATGGGAAAGGCAGTGAAGGATATTATTCATAGGGAGCCACATCCGTTAAACACTGTTATTCATCTGGCTAGGATAACAAGATAAATTCACAGATAAATTCAGTTGTGAAGTGGTTTGGATGGGTCCTCACCCAAATCTCATCTTGAACTGTAGCTCCCACAATCCCCATGTGTTGTAGGAGGGACCCAGTGGGGGATAATTGAATCACAGTGGCAGGTTTTTCCATGCTGTTCCTGTGATAGTGAATAAGTCTCACAAAATATAATGATTTTATAAAGAGCAGTTCCACTGCACACATTCTCTTGCCTGTCACCATGTAAGATGTGCCTTTGCTGTTCTTTCACCTTCCACCATGATTGTGAGGCCTACCCAGTCATGTGGAACTGTGAGTCCATTGAACTTCCTTTTCTTTATAAATTACCCAGTCTTGGGTATGTCTTTATCAGCAGCATGAGAACAGACTAATACACAAAGTTAGCAGGAAATAATATTTATCTCAAAGACATGCTACAACTATAAAGCATCATAATGAAGTCCTCGTTGATTGTGTACTACTTTCTTAGGTACTGGCTTGTTCTCCAAAGCCACAGAGTATCAGTTTGCTGTTTGAAATTATATCATTAGTAGAAAGCATCCAAATCTTGTTTGGAGGATCTAAGTTACTTTGACACAAAGAAGCAGTCTTGATTTCCAGCCCAGGTAAAGAACCTGAATTAAGAAGTTTCTTCACAAAATATTCCACATCTATATTGACTGTGAAGTTTCCAAGGAAAGAGGATCCTAGGTCCACCTCACTATCCAGATCTGATGTTGAACTCTTTGCAAATAGTACACATAACTCTGCTCTAACAAAACACTACTTCACTGAAATTGTGTCTAAATTCTACTCTCTAAAAAAAAATTCTAAAAATTATGTTTCTTTTCCTCCTTTTCTTTGCTTTTTTCTTTCCTTTCCTTTTATTATTTCTTTTATCTCTCTTTCTTTCTTTCTCTTTCTTTCTTTCCCTTTTTCTTTCTTTCCCCATCCTTCCTTCCTTCTTTTCTTTCTTCTCTTTCTTTTCTCTTCTTTCTTTCTTTCTTTCCTTCTTTCTTTCTTTCTTTCTTTCTTTCTTTCTTTCTTTCTTTCTTTCTTTCTTTTCTCTTCTTTCTTTCTTTCTTTCCTTCCTTCCTTCCTTCCTTCCTTCTTTCTTTCTTTCTTTCTTTCTCTTTTTTCCTTTCTTTCCTTTCTTTCCTTTGTTTCTCTCTCCTTCCTTTCTGCCTGCCTGCCTGCCTTTCTTTACTTCTTCCCTCCCTTCCTTCCTTTTTTCTTTCTTCCCTTTTTGTGAGATTCACCATAGTTTTTCTAGTATACAGTCTCTATCATTGCAATAAGACAATAATTTGACATGGTTGAATGACAGGTTTATTTGACAAAATTCAATAACCTTTCATTATAAAAATATTCAACAAACTAGCAATAGAACTTCCTCAACTTGATAAAAGGAATACAAAAACCCAAGGCTCATATTATATTTAGTGGTGAGAAAATGAATGTTTTCCCTCAAAGATGAAGACTAAAGCAAGCATGTACACTTTTCCCTTTATTCAACTAATGTTGAATAAAATTGGAGATTCTAGCAAAGGTAATTGGGGGTGGGGGACAGTCAGAGAGAGAGAGAGAGACAGGGAGAGAGGGAGGGAAGAGAGAGAGAGAGAGAGAGAAAGAAATGGCATCCAGATTGGAAAGAAAGAAGTAACACTATCACTATTTGCAGGTGGCAAGTACTGATATATACAAAAACTTAAATAATTTAATAGAAATGTATAGTCAGGTTGCAGGTTACAAAAGCAACATACAAAAAAAATCAGTTGTATTCTATATAAGAGC